AATTAACATGAATTTACATTTTAGGTGTTTGAGCCACACCTCATTGGTGTTCAGGAACTATTCCTGGGTGCTCTGGGGTGACCCCTGGCCATCCCCGGGGGACCATATGCTGTGCCAGGGATTCAAATCAGGACCAGAGAGGAGGCAAGGCAAGCCCTCTTCCTGCTATACTGTATCTCCAGCCTCATTCCCTTTCTGTGCTGCTCTCACTGTGCTTGCCAGGGTCATACCTGTCATCTTGGTGGTCTCACACCCCTGGCTGTGCCCCCCAAGACAGTCATTCTGGGGGCCCAGAGAGCAGACGCACAGTATGTGTGGGCTGCAGGTGGGATCAGACTCATGTTTTCCTTGGGTAAATGTGTAAGCAAACCCCCAGAAAAAGCTGGAGAAACAGCAACTCTCAGTAACACTGCCCTCTGAGGAGGGGGCTGGTGGTGCCCGAGTTTCCTTCCTGGTGTCTGTGTTGTCTGAATCTGCAGCAACCCCATAGCTCAGTGTCTCTGCACGCCCCTGGGAGTCACCATTCCACCACCCCAGGGACTCCACCAGGGGCCTCTCTGCTGACCAATACAGAAGGCCCCCACGATAACCGCCCCCCCCATCAGAGGAAGCAGGAGGCTCTGAAGGGGGAGGGGAAGTGACTCAGACCTCCCCCCCCCCACACACACACACACACTGGTTTTTCACCACCCCTTCATCCTTCTTAGATCTGCAAATTGGCCTTCACAGCCTGCTTGCAAAGGGAGGTGAATCTCCCGGGCTCTCCATCCCCCCATGAACTCTTGCCCCTCCTTCATATGCATGTGACACTTCAGACTCCAGCTTGTGGCGCTGTAACAGAGATTTCTCCATTAATATGCAGCCCATGAAGCCTTGCCCAGGGAGAGCAGCTCAGAATACTGCTCTGGGGGCACCCATTGCCCTGTGTCCCCAGGGCCAGACACCCCTGCTGGGTTCGTCAGGCACCTAGGGTGAGGGGGGCTCTGAGCCCTCCTCTGCCACCCCCCCACCCTGTCCTGCAGAACCAACAATGTTGGTTCTCCAGGGGCCCCTGGGCCACCTGCATACAGCATGCAACAGGGCCACAGAGTGGGACGGTGATGCTCCCCCATAGGGCCCAGCCTGGCAAGGGTCCTGGGGCCAGCAACCACTGCTCCTGCACATGATGGGCAGTGGGGGTGCGGGGAAGGGTGGGGGTGGGGTGCAGGGTGCTGGCTCAAGTCTTCGGGACTGGAGAAACAGCAACTCTCAGTAACACTGCCCTCTGAGGAGGGGGCTGGTGGTGCCCGAGTTTCCTTCGTGGTGTCTGTGTTGTCTGAATCTGCAGCAACCCCATAGCTCAGTGTCTCTGCACGCCCCTGGGTGTCACCGTTCCACCACCCCAGGGACTCCACCAGGGGCCTCTCTGCTGACCAATACAGAAAGCCAATACAGAGCATCCCTGACGGCCTTTCCTGCCCAGATGGCCCTGTCCTCCTAGGACCCCAGATTTTTCTAAGAAGGACACCAATCCACTTCTCAGGGCATGGTCATCATCCCTACCAATACCAGAAAATTCAGCTCCCTTGGCCCTCACTCCTAGCAGAACTTTCTTTTGTTGTTGTTGTTGTTTTGGGGGGGTGCGTATCTGGTGGTGCTCGGAGGTCACTCCTGGCTCTGTGTTGGGAATTACTCCTGGGGGTGCTTAGGGGATCGTATGGGGTACTAGGGATCGAACCTGGGTCTGCTGCAGGCAATGCAAATGCCCTACCCACTGTGCTATAGCTCCAGTCCCAATGTCAGTCCCTTGGGACAGAGTGAAGGTAGAGGGGTGAGGCACTTGCCGTGCACATGGCCAACCCAGGTTCTACCCACGGCATCCCACATGGTCCCTCCAGGCCTGCCTGGAGTAAGTCCTGAGCCCCACTGGGTGTGCCTCTCCTCACCTCCCCCCACAATAAAGGAAGGAACGAAAGAAAGAAAGAAAGAAAGAAAGAAAGAAAGAAAGAAAGAAAGAAAGAAGAGAAAGAAAGAGAAAGAAAGAAAGAAAGAAAGAAAGGAGAGAAAGAAAGAGAAAGAAAGAAAGAAGAGAGAGAAAGAAAGAAAGAAAGAAAGAAAGAAAGAAGAGAAAGAAAGAAAGAAAAAGAGAAAGAAAGAAAGAAGAGAAAGAAAGAAAGAAAGAAAGAAGAGAAAGAAAGAAAGAAAGGGAGAGAGGGAGAGAGGGAGAGAGGGAGGGAGGGAAGAAAGAAAGAAAGAAAGAAAGAAAGAAAGAAAGAAAGAAAGAAAGAAAGAGAAAAAGAAAGAAAGAAGAGAAAGATAAAAGAGAAAGAGAGAGAGAGAAAGAAAGAAAGAAAGAAAGAGAGGGAGGGAGGGATGGAGGGAAGAAAGAAAGAAGAGAAAGAAAGATAAAAGAGAAAGAGAAAGAAAGAAAGGGAGAGAGGGAGGGAGGGAGGGAGGGAAAAAAGAAAGAAAGAAAGAAAGAAAGAAAGAGAAAAAGAAAGAAGAGAAAGAAAGAAAGAAAAAAGAGAAAGAAAGAAAGAAAGAAAGAAGAGAAAGAAAGAGAAAAAGAAAGAAGAGAAAGAAAGATAAAAGAGAAAGAGAAAGAAAGAAGAGAAAGAAAGAAGAAAGAAAGAAAGAAAGAAAGAGAAAAAGAAGAGAAAGAAAGAAAGAAAAAAGAGAAAGAAAGAGAAAGAAAGAAAGAAGAGAAAGAAAGAGAAAAAGAAAGAAGAGAAAGAAAGAAAAAGAAAGATAAAAGAGAAAGAGAAAGAAAGAAGAAAGAAAGAAAGAAAGAAGAGAAAGAAAGAAGAAAGAAAGAAAGAAAAAAAGAAAGAAAGAAGAAAGAAAGAAAGAAAGAAAGAAAGAAAGAAAGAAAGAAGAAAGAAGGAAGGAAGAAAGGAAGGAAGGAAGGAAGAAAGAAAGAAAGAAAGAAAGAAAGAAAGAAAGAAAGAAAGAAAGAAAGAAAAAAGAAGAAAAGAAAATTCAGCTTCTGGGCCAGAGAGGGCCCCCATGGGCGAGCACGTGCACCGCATGTGCCAGGCCCCGGGTTCCAGCCTCAGCACCTCATGTCTCCTAAGCACCATTCAGTGTGCCCTGGGCACTGCTGAGGGTGTCTTCCACAGTTGAATAAGAAAGAGAACACAGGAATCAATATTGACCTTAAAAGTGAGGGCCCCTTCAGGGCCTGGCACCTGGCTCGAAGGGCCGAGTGTATGCTTTGCCTATGAGGGGATTCCTGGCAACACTTTATCCCCTGAGCACTAAACCAGGAACAAAACCTATTGAGCACTAAACCTATTGAGCACTGTCAGGTGTGTCCTCTCCCCACCCCCAAACTAAGGACCTGGAATCTGACTGACTTGGTCACAGGTGAGCAGCAGAGCTTGGGAGGAAGCTGACTGTCCAGGCTGAGTTTCTGCTGCTCCCACACTGGGCAGCCCCAGAGCTAAAAGGCCAGCGCAGTGCCCACGGCCAGCTCCACCGCGGGCTCCGTACCTGCCACCCGGCTCTCAGCAAGCCGCCCAAGCTGTGTGTTCCAGAGGTGAGGGGTGGAGGTGAGGAAGGCCATTTTTCGTTTTGGTTTTGGGGGCACGCTGTTAAAAGCAGATTTTCCTGCGCTGGTGGGTTCTTGAGAGCCGAACAAAAGATTTGTGTACAAAACGCGGACGGTTAGAAGTTAGCATTTATGGTTCAGTTTAAGTAGATGGCTCCGGGTCCCTCCCCAGATGCCAGGGCCGCTCCTTTATCCGTGTGTGACTCACCCTGTCCCTGGCGCTGCCCGTCCACACCCTCGATGTCCCAGTGTCATCCCATCAGTCTACTCACTGCTAGTGTAGGACGGCCAGGTCCATGCCTGCGTCTCTCTGTCCCGTGCCTGCTTCCCTAGTCTCAAATCCTGTCCTGGACCCTTTCCGAACTGGACCCCAGTGGTTCCCTGACATCCTGGACCGGCTTTCCTCAGACACATGTGCACGGGTGAAACTGCTGTGCTCAGTCTCTGTCCTTCCAGCCCTGCCCGAATCTGAGCTTTCTTGCCTGAATCTGAGCTTTCTCGCCCCAATCTGAGCTTTCCAGGGCGTACAAGTCCGTCCTGTCTCCTGCCCTTGCCTTATCTATGAGGTGGGCCTGCACTCAGCCATCTGTCGGGCCCGCAGCCCTACCTGATCCTGCAGGCTGCTGGGCATGTGGAGGGAGACGGGTGCAGGGGGAGGCCCAGGAAGAGGGCATCTAGAGAGAGTGGGGCTGGGGGCCTCCTTTTATCTGCTGCCACACGCCCCACCCCCCGCCATCCCATTATCTATTCTGACCTGCTACTTGTTCCAAGGACAAGATCTAAAGTGACTAAAATGACTGATGCTCCACCCTCCACTCCCACTGGGTCACACCTGGCAGTGCTCAGGGCTATACATGGCTCTGTGCTCAGGGGTCACTCCTGGTGAGTTCTGGGGACCCATAGGTGGCGTGGGGGATCCAACCCGGGTTGGTCATATGCAAGGGCACGTACCATCGCTCTGCCACACCCAAGGATCATCTTTCCCGGAGGGGGGTGGTGAGGGGAGCAACTTAACATCCTACCCAAGATCCCAGGGCAGAATCAGGGCTGAGCCACGAGGGGAACCAGGTGCCCCTTACAGAGCAGCTGAGGATGGCGTGCACACCTTCCCTGACACCAACTTCAGCATCCCCCACCCCGCTAAGGCAGTGACATTCACAAAGCCCACCCCTCCCCACTCACACACACTCACAAACACTCTCTCTCTCTCTCTCTCTCTCTCTCTCTCTCTCTCTCTCTCTAAGCCAATTCCTCTGAGCAAAGAAATCCAGAGCTACTTCCAAGAGAGGACAACTCCTCACAGTGGCCAAGGCCGCTCCCAAGAGGGAAACTGAGGACAGGGAGGGACCCCCGAGAATACGAGTTCCCACACGAATCTCCCCTGCAAGCTGAGAGGTCTGGGAGGGCGGGCTCTCGGCCAGGCCTCCACACACTGGCAGAAGAAACACTTTCTTTCTACAAAGGCCTTTATTTTCCCCCAGATTTCCCCCTTTAACCAAAGTCCTAGAGTCCCACACTTAAATTAGACAGTCCCACATCTCCTAGACCCCGGGCGCGGGGAGACCCAGGTGAGATGATTAGAGGGAGGCACGGGGGTGCGTGCCCCAGAATAGCACCATCGTGGGGCGGTTGGGGGGGGGTGTGCCCTCAGTCCCATCCCCAGGCTCCAGACCAGATTCTCCAGGGTCTGGCCTCAGGCCTGTGGCGCCCCAGGGGAACTTTGAGGATGGCCAGAACGTCAGAGGCTGGGTGAGGCGCCCCCCTCTTGGTGTGTTTCTGCCCTAGGCCCTCGGCTCCGTGTAAGGGAAAGAGTCAGGTGTCCGGGGGCTGGGTGGGCACAGAGGGGGAGGCACCGGTGGGGGCAGCAGGCCACAGCAGGAGGTTCAGTTCCCAGGGGCTCCCGGTGGACTGGTGGCGGATAGAGTGGGGGGCCAGCACATAACCCAATGCTGCCACCACCAGGCTGCTGCGTGAATCGCATGTGAGTGGACAGGAAGAGGGCAGAAGAGCCCGGGGAGCAGCATGAACCAGCACGCACTTCCCCGGGGAGGGCTGTGTCGAGGCAGGGCTCACTGGGCACAGTCAGAGCACCCTGGGAGAGACTGGGTTAGGCTGGAAGCGCCGTGCAAGTTCCCGCACACACCCGCAGGGCTTTGTGCCTGGGGAGGGCCCCCCGCCCAGGGGCCCACAGGAGCCGTGTCTCAGGAGGGGGTTACCGGCCTCTTCCTGACCTCGAGCTCGCCAGGGCCCACAGAAACAGAGGGAAGAAGGGGGTGGTTGCAGGGGGTCGTGTCTTTGGAGCCAGAGGTCCATGTAAAATGTGTCCATTGGAGAAACCAGGCAGCGGGTGGTCTGAATTGATCCACGAGAACTAAGGCAGCGGATGATTGACTCTGGAGAAATAAGGCTGCGGGGCAGTCTGCATATGGCATCTCCTGGAGAGTGAGCAGACCTGCCGGCGTGGGCCCATCTACGGGCGCCGGGGCAGCCCGAGGCCCAGAGCGTCACAGAGGCCCCAGTGCAGAGAGAGGTGGACGCCCCGGGTTGGACAGCAGCTCCCCGCCCAGCGGTCAGGCTAATTCTTGTCCTTCATCTGCATTTCAGGATGAGAAGAAAGAAAGAAGAGAAAAAAAAACACATGAAGCAGCTTCTTCAGCCTGGGGAGACCACAGTGCCCAGCGTAGGAGTGTGGCTGAGGATGGCAGAGGTCAGAGGTCAGAGGTCGCTGTACCAGCACAACCGTTGGACATGGCACAGGAGCAGGCCATGAAGATGCCTGGGGGACACTGCCCAAATCTCCCTGGGGCCCAAGCAGACTGCACTTCCATCTCGCCAGCCCCTCGGCCTGAGCCCCCTCCCCTATCAGCAGAGAGCCCCTCCGATGGGGGCCTGGCTGGGGGAGCCAGGGAGTCTCAGGTCACCTGCCAACAGGCCCCCAGGGAGAATTCAGACTGCGAATCAGCCCACTCCCAACCTTCCAGCAGGTGTGGCCCCGGCCCACCCTCTGAGGACCCTGAGCCAGGCTGCGGGGTGTGGGCCAAGAGGCCCCCTGCACTCTCCAGAGCCCAGCGGACACTTGATCGCTGTGTCCCTGCCTGATTCAGAGCAGATGGGGGGGCGAGGGGTGACTTCTCTCTCTAGACCCCAATGCAGCAATACAGGCCTCACTACGGCCAGTAAACCTGGAGTGGGGACGGGGGGCACAACCAGTGGTGCTCAGGGCTTATCCCCGGCTCTGAGCTCAGGGGGACTGGGAGGGGGCTTGTGCCCTGTGCCCTCTCTTCCTGTGCCGAGGAGAGGTCCAGCCTTGTTTTCTGATGAACAGAGCTTTTCCAAATTTGTCACCTTTCCTGGTCATCTACACCAGGAGACACTTTAGTCAGCTAGAAACAAAATGTCCCATGCCCCGCTCTCCACTTCGGGCAAAGGAAGCCTGTGGCCTCCTGGAGTCCGAGATAGACGCTTCCAGGTACTGAAACTGGGTCAATGGAACATGCGCCCAGGACATCAGTGGGCTTAATATCCCCAAGGCTCAGACTGCCACAGGGAAGAGAAGTAAATTCCTGTCCCAGGCAAACCTGTCATACTGGGCTAAGCGTGATGGCATTTGCCTTGCGTGGGTGAGGCCTGGGGGCTCGATCCCAGCACAGAGAAAATAAAACATGACCGTGGGGTTCAACCAGAGCAGTGGGGGGCTCTATAATCAGCACGGGGGTCCGGATGCTGCTCTTCTGGGGGTGAGGAGTCTCAGGTGACAGGCCAGAGTGATGTCTCCCCCCTCACCAGCCCCCAGCATCCTGCACGCGCACAGTGCGCACCCACACACACACGCACACACACATGTACACACACACGCACACACACAGGCATATACACACACAGGCACACACACTCATGCACAGACACACGCATGCCCACATGTACACACATGCATCCCACACACATGGATACATGCCCACACGCATGCAAGCACACATGCATAATCTCAGTCCCGGGTGTTTTTACCTTCTTTGCTTTCCTTGTGCTTCAGAGGCCGGAGGGCTGTGGAGAAGAAGGAGAAGGAGCATGTGGTGAGGGGCGACCCATGGGAAGGGACAGGGTGGGGAGTCTGCAGAGGATCAGGAGCTGACGAAGGGACGCTAGGAGGACTGGGAGGAGGCGGGTGGGGAGGGCGGGGAGAGGCTGCTTCCTGGGGTCTCGGGCCCTCAGGCCTGCCCTTCCCTCCCTGGGACCCTCTTCACTCTGCAAGGGAGCTGTGCCCGCTGTCTGCACTGGGCTGACCTTGCCGTTGGGGTCACAGAGAGAGGAGGAAAGGGCAGCAGAGTCAGCAGCCCCGGTGTCCGGCCAGATGCTCTCGCACCACTACTGCCCATGCCCTCCCTCCTCCCGCCTGAGGCTGCTCTGAGCGTGAACAGGTATGGTCCTGTGGTCCTGCACATGGAAGGGACCCCACAGAGGCCCCAGAGGGGCCCCCGCCCAGCCAGGAGGAAGGTCCCAAAGGCCTGCTGCATCCAGACACAAAGGCGAGGTGGACGGGCGGTCCCCTGGGGTCCATCTGCCCTTCCTTCCTTGGGGAGTGAGGGCCCAGATGTTAACTGGCACCATCCCTAACGGGTCAACAGGAACCTCCCAGCAGTCGCAGGGCACCCGTGCCCTAAGCTTGTGGCCCCTGGCACATGCCCTTGGCATGACACGCCAATAGCTCTTACATTTTATTTTTGTGGGGTGGTGGTGGTAAGGGGGGTCATACCCAGCCAACTTGAGGCTTATTCTGGGACCCCTCCTGGTGGGGCTTGGGTCATACGGGATGCCTGGACCAAACCTGGGCTGGCCACAGGTAAGGCAAGTGCCCTCCCTGCTGTCCCCTGGCTCCGGCCCTCTTGTACTATCAGTCGGGGTGATCTGTAACCAGGGTGACATTCTAGTCAGAGGGGACCCGATCAGACTGTCTGTCCACAGCAGGTGGCTATGGCTGGGCCTGTTGAGGCCTGGGAGTGAGTAGGCAGTGCAGGGGGGTCACCTGTCGCCTAGGGGAGCTGAAGTCAGTCCCATGGCCAGGGAAGGTCACCCCTTTCAGCGGGATGCCCAGAGGCAAGAGGCACAGTGACCACCCGAGGCCTCATCTCCTTCCTCTCTCTCTCCCTCTCCCCTCCCTCCTCTCTCCCTTCCCCCCTCCTCCCTCTTCCTCCCCCTCCCCCAATCCTAAAGCAGGAGGCCTCGGGCTGGATATGGGGATGGAGTAGCCCGAAAGCACATCAGGGCAGATGTGGCAGGCATCTGTGAATGCCGAGCTTACCTGTCTTGGATCCTCCATCCCCATCGGGGTCCTCTGCCCCTAGAAGGGAGAACATGACCCTCAGCCAAACCTGTCGCCGCAAACACCCCACTCCCCCGCCAGGAGCCCTGCATCACGCAGGGGAAACGGGCCAGGCTGAGAGGGGATTCCCAGCCGGGCCACTGCCCCCCTCACTCACTGCCCATGCCCAGCCCCCACCCCGTCCTCAACCCCCATCACCGCTGGCAAAGACACAGCTTCCTGGACATACTCCAACCACCCAGGCTGACCACTCACATCCATTCAGTCACCACATACCCCACTCACCACACACCCCACTCACCTCCACTCACCATACACCCTGCTCACCTCCACCCACCACACACCCCATCACCTCCGCACAACCACACCCCCCACTCACCTCCAACCAACCACACTCACCACACACTCCACTCACCTCCACTCACCACACCCCACTCACCTCCATTAACTACACACCCCACTCACCTTCATCCACCACACACCCCACTCACCTCCAACCAACCACACACACCACACACCCCACTCACCTCCAACCAACCACACACACCACACACCCCACTCACCTCAACTCACCTCCACCCACCACACACCCCACTCACCTCCAACCAACCACACACACCACACACCCCACTCACCTCAACTCAACTCCACCCACCACACACCCCACTCACCTTTGCAAGCATCCTGCTGTCTTCACACCTGATACAGGCTCCACACCCCATTGTCCCTGGAATGAGCCTCTCATGCTGGCGGGAGCCCCCAAAGGCCCATGCCTTATGCTCAGCCACAGCCGGGAACTCCCCTCCCAGAGCACTCACCTGCGTTCTCCTCCTCACAGCTCTGCTTGATCTTCCTCCAGCACACGAAGGCCAGGGCCACCAGCAGCAGCACGAGGCAGACCGAGAGGCCCACGGTCACCCACAGCGCCTCGGGGGGGAACGTCATGGGCTGCCCTGGGAGAGGAGGAGTCGGGGAGGACAGTCAGGCGGGGCCAAGCCTGCAGAAGGCACCCTCCCCACCAACCCGCACCCATCCAGGCCCCCGTGGTAGGCAGACATGCCACTCACTACAATTCCCCGGCACCCCGACTCTGACACAGCACGTGTGGACAAGGCACGTGTGGCCACATGTGGACAAGCCCAAACCCGTCGACTGGAAGAGCCTGCGGATGAGAATGCTCAAGAACTTCCTAGGCTCCGCCGCCCCCCCCAACCTGAGTCCAACACTTTTGTCTTCTTGGGGCGAGGGAGCACCTCCATCATGGGCAGCCACTCATTCCCCGTCAGCCTGGCTCATTCCATTCCAGAAACCTCTGGAGGTCAGGCCCAACCAGTGTCCTGCCCTTTCTCTGCGGAGACCGCTGGCCACTGCTGTCAGTTTCCCCTCAACAGTGCTCCCTCCCTCTCCACCCAGCTCAAGAGTCCCCTCGCTGGGCTGGACAGACAGTACCGCAGAGAGGATGCTGGCTTTGCATGTGCCGACCTGGGTTCAATCCCCTGCTCCATATGTTCCCCTGGGCGCAGAGCCAGAAGTAAGCCCTGAGCACTGCAGGGTGTGCACCCCCTCAAAAAAAAAAGAAAAGAAATCCCCCTCCCTGAGGACCCCAGCCCCACCTGGAGCTACCGGTCAGACACAGAGCAGGCGTTGGCGAAGGGAGGCCCTTGTGTCCAGTCTGCCTGTGGCCTGTTTCTGGACAGCCTGTGAGCTAATAATAACACTGACTTTTTTTTTTCAAAGGAAGACAGAAAAGGGCAAAGGGAGGGGCAGCAGCCACCGAAGCCACCGCAGTAGGGACGGCAGGTGGCCCTCAGGGTGTCACGGGGTCTCCTGCCCAACCTTTCAGGAATCGGGGGCAGACCCAGCACGGAAGTGGGGAGGGGGCCTTAGAGGGGACTCTGCATTTACCCCGGAAGACAAGTGTGGGACCCCCACGCCCACACCGCCAGGGCAGGTGTTTCTGGAACACAACGACCACTGAGCATGCATGCAGGCATGAGCCTCTCACCAGTGCAGGTCGACAGGCAAGGCCTGACTTTTCTATGGGGGGGAGGGGCAGTCAGGAGCCTCTCGGCCAGTGAGGACACATGACCAAGGCAGTCATCTGTGTTGACATCTTGAGCATCTGTCTCCCGCACTGTTCTCAGGACCAAGGGTCCAAGCAGCCGGCAACGGGCAGGCGACTTCAGCCTCGGGTCCCCTCTCAGCGTCCTGCCAGCCTCCCATCCCTCCAGTGTCTGTCAGGGCGGGGCTGGCCTACTTCAGAGCCCTTGGCCTCTATTTCACTCTGGGCAGCTCGTGTCTGTAACCCCCCCGGGACTCGCTTTCAGTGCTCCAGCTGGGCCTTGCCCGGCTGCCGGGCTGAGTGGCAGGAGTGAGTTGGATGGGGCAGGGCCCGGGAGCAAGCCCAAGACCCCAGCTGAAGGTCAGGTCTTCGCTGACCTTCCCTCTCTTGTTTTGTAAAAGGGCAGTTGGGTGCCCACCAGGTGGGGCCTAGGGTGACTCCTGCTGGAGTTGAGGGGCAGGTGATGCCGTGAGTCAAACCGGACTGCGCCCTCTGCAAGGCTCACAGTGACTCTCTCCCTGCACACTTCAGCTTCTCTCTCACATGGTCAGTGGGGATACGTGGCACCCACATGCCAGCAGAGAGGGCGAACTCAGAAAAACCCGCTCTCCCCCGCCCCAAGTATTTCTGTTCTGTTTTTGTTTGGGGGCCACGCCCAGCAGTGCTCAGGGATTACTCCTGGCAATTTGGGGGACCCTATGAGATGCCAGGGATCAAGCCCATGGCGGCCGCGTACAAGGCAAGTGACTTATCCACTGAACTATCTCTCCGACCCCAGCTTCCCACTCCCCTGCTCCCCCCAGTATTTCTGTGCTCAGCCCCCTCAGCCCTACAGCTGTCTGGGCACCTGCCCTCTGCAGAGCCATCAGGGTGCTGGGCCCCTTTGCTGCCAACGTCTACAGCAGATCTGCCAATCAAGATCTGCTGCCAAAGTCAGCCTTGGTGCCAGGGTTCTGCAGGGCTCCTGGCACTGCCCGGTGCTCTGCCTCTGCAGAGCCTGCTGGTCCTGGGCTGAAGAGATTGGAACAGAGAAACAGGCCCCCGTCTGCCTGTGCAGCCATCCTGGCCACCCAGAAAGCCACCCGAGAAGACCTCTCTGAAAGGAGAGGTAGGACCGCTCCGTGCCAGGTTGCAGGGCGTGAAGAAGCTTCAGTCTGGGCTTCACTTTTCTCATCTCCAAATGGGAAGAGCTGGGAATGTGGGCAATGGAAGTTTAAAAGAAAGGGCCCGAAAGATCAGAGAGTGGGTTTGGCGTTTGCCTTGCATGCAGCCAGCCCCGGTTCTATCCCTGGAACCCCCGTAGGCTCTTCTGAGCCCTGCTAGGAGTGATCCCTGCACGCAGAGCCAGGAGTAAGCCCGGAGCACTTCTGAGTGTGGCCCAAAATCAGACAGAGACGGACAGACAGACAGACAGAGACAGAGACAGAGACAGACAGAAAGGAAGAAGGAAGGAAGGGAGGGAGAGAGGATAAAAGGAAGGACAGAAGGAAGGAAGGAAGGAAGGAAGGAAGGAAGGAAGGAAGGAAGGAAGAGGGAGGGAGGAAAAGGGAGGAAGAGGGAGGGAGGAAAAGGGAGAGAGGGAGGGAGGGAGGGAGGGAGGGAGGGAGGGAGGAAGCTGCACGGTGTGGGGTGAGAGCTCTCCCTGGACTACACTGTCTGCATTTCCCAGGCTGCTGCCCCGATTCAGTGAGGGTGTAGAGAGCCCCGCAGCCTACAGACTGCCCCGTGCCCTCTCCACTCCCACCTGGCCCCAGAGACTCTGCCCGACAGCCCGTCACGACCTCCCCCCAAATCTCTGACATTTCTTGTTCGCGCCTGCAAGCACATTGGTTGGGTGGAAGCCAGAGGAAGCGTGAAGAGGAGAACCAGATGGGCAGAACACAGGGAGGCCCCTGTTGACCGCCGGTTTGCGGGGACTGAGGGCCAGACTTGGCACTCGATGTAGCGGGACACCAAGACGCCACATGTCCTGGCCGTAGAGTGGCCAAGCCTCTCCCCTTTCCTGACGGACTCTGACTAGGGCCGACTTCGGGGAAGGGAGGAGTGCTCAGAGCTGAGACAAGGGGAGTGTCTGACTACCTGGGGGAGTCCAAGGGCGCCCCGGGGACTGGGCCCCTGGGAGAAGCCCAGCTGTCCCTCCAGGCCTCCAATAACAGAAGCCCTTGCATGCAGCCACAATTTTCTGGCCCCCAGAGCAGCCCTGGCATGACCCACAGTTCAGAGGCCAGACAGGTGCTCGACGATCTCCGTGTCACCAGCTGACACCAGACCCAAGGTGTATCTGGGGAAGGTAAATCTCACAAGAGACGCTTGGCGACTCCAAATAGCAAGCTGGGGAAGGGGCAGCCTCCCGGAAATGGGTCCCGGAAACTCTGCCAGCTGCCCAAAGCCCCCACGCCCAGGACTCCTGGCACGCCCCTCACCTGTGACGGTGATGGAGCCAAGCGCGTCTTGCCCCAGTACCGGGTTGCGCACGCGGCAGCTGTAGGTGCCGCCGGCACCCAGCACCACACTCAGCTCGCTGCGCACCTCGAACAGGCCCTGTGTGTCCGCCGTCTGCGACGTGCTCACGCTGCCGCTCAGCGCCACGCCGCGCTCGTCCTGCCATAGCACCTCGGCCTCGGGGTAGCCGTGCGAGCTGGTGCAAGTGATGTTCACTGTGATCCCCGGACGCAGCTCCTTGCTGGGCTCCAGGCTCATGCTGGGCTTGGAGTAGGGCGCTGGGGGAGGGGCCACAGGGCACAGGTCGGGATCAGACAAGTGGGGGTCACACAGACGGGGAGGGTCCTGCTGAGGATGGGGGCCACACTGGGCTGAGGACAGGACCACTTTAGGCTGAGGACAGGGTCTACACTGAGTTGAGGACAGGGTCTAAACTGAGCTGAGGACAGGGTCTATACTGGGCTGAGGACAGGGTTTCCACAAGGCTGAGGACAGGGTCTACACTAGGCTGAGGACGGAGCCACACTAGGCTGAGCGCAGGGCCACACTGGGCTGAGGATGGGGCCACACTGAGCTGAGGACAGGGTCTACACCAGGCTGAGGACGGGGCCACACTGGGTGGAGGGTCCACACTAGCTGTGTGCAGGGTCTCCAGAAGGGCACGCCTTCTGTCACCTGCCACCTGCAAGCGGATGCCCACGCCCCACCCCAATACCTACTCACTCACCTGCCACCAGCAGGCTGACAGCCGCGCTGCCGAAATCCCGGACGCTCACGAAACAGGTGAAGCTGCCCTCATCGGCCACCCGCACACGTTGCAGCCTCAGGGATGCGTTGCCCTGGGCCAGCAGGTCTGGGAAGAGCGCCGTGCGGTTGGCATAGGAGCTGCCCTGGTCCCGGCCCTCAGCAAAGCTGTGCACCAGCTGCTTGGTGTCCGTCAGCTGCCAGATGAGGCTGAGCTGGTCCAGGCTGAAGCCGGGCTCGGGGGAGAAGGAGCAGAGCAGGGTGGCATCGGTGCCCACGAGGGCCACCACGGGGTCTTCAGGGACCTGAACGTCCACTGCGCCTGGTGGCGAGGGGCAGCCGTGGAGTTGGGGGAGGAATGGCCCAGGGGCCCCCGAGTGTCCCCCAGATTCCCCGTCTTCAACCCTGCTCCTACTGTGTCCTCGCTTCCCCCAACCCCCACAGCACCCGCGTGCAGTCTCTCCCTCATCCCTCACAGGGCAGCTCCCACAAAGCCCCTCTCGGGGGACCCGCTCTCCCCCTCTGCTCCCTCCCTGTCCTTCCCAGAAGGTTCCAGAGCCTGAGAGCCGGGGGAGCTGGATGGGGCTGAGCCTGGAATTGATCTCCACCTGCCATGGGGACAAAAAATCTGGCCACCGGCGCCATGGCATTCCCGCCCCCCACCCCCACCGGCCCGGGCTCGGTTCCACTCTCCCCTGCACGCTCAGGCCCAGAGGCTCACTGACTCCACCCGAACCTCCCTCCTTCCCTGGAGGAACAATCTAGAAGAGAACCTGGGGGGCCCCTGGGGGGCGTGACGGTGATGGAGCCAAGCGCGTCCTGCCGCAGCACCGGGTTGCGCACGCGGCAGCTGTAGGGGCCGCTGCCAGCACCCAGCACCACGCTCAGCTTGCTGCGCACCTCGAACAGGCCCTGTGTGTCCGCCGTCTGCGACGTGCTCACGTTGCCGCTCAGCGCCACGCCGCGCCCGTCCTGCCACAGCACCTCGGCCTCGGGGTAGCCGCGCGAGCTGGTGCATGTGATGGTCACCGTGTTCCCCGGACGCAGCTCCTTGCTGGGCTCCAGGCTCATGCTGGGCTTGGAGTAGGGCGCTGGGGGCGGGGCCACAGGGCACAGGTCGGGATCAGACAAGTGGGGGTCACGCAGAGGGGGAGGGTTCTGCTGAGGACGGGGGCCACACTGGGCTGAGGACAGGGCCACTCTAGGCTGAGGACAGGGTCTACACTAGGCTGAGGACAGGGTCTACACCGGGCTGAGGACAGGGTCTACACTAGGCTGAGGACAGGGTCTACACTGGGCTGAGGATGGGGCCACACTGGGCTGAGGACAGAGACACACTGGGCTGAGTACAGGGTCTACACTGGGCTGAGGACGGGGCCACACTGGGCTGAGGATGGGGCCACTCTAGGCTGAGGACAGGGTCTACACTAGGCTGAGGACAGGGTCTACACCGGGCTGAGGACAGGGTCTACACTAGGCTGAGGACAGGGTCTACACTGGGCTGAGGATGGGGCCACACTGGGCTGAGGACAGAGACACACTGGGCTGAGTACAGGGTCTACACTGGGCTGAGGACGGGGCCACACTGGGCTGAGGATGGGGCCACACAGGCTGAGGACAGGGTCTACACTGGGCTGAGGACGGGTTTACACTGGGCTGAGGACGGGGCCACACTGGGCTGAGGATGGGGCCACACTGTGTTGAGTACAGGGTCTACACTGGGCTGAGGATGGAGCCACACTGGGCTGAGGATGGGGCCACACTGGGTTGAGTACAGGGTCTACACTGGGCTGAGGATGGAGCCACACTGGGCTGAGGATGGGGCCACACTGGGTTGAGTACAGGGTCTACACTGGGCTGAGGACGGGTTTACACTGGGCTGAGGACAGGGCCACACTGTGTTGAGTACAGGGTCTACACTGGGCTGAGGACGGAGCCACACTGGGTTGAGTACAGGGTCTACACTGGGCTGAGGACGGGTTTACACTGGGCTGAGGACAGGGCCACACTGTGTTGAGTACAGGGTCTACACTGGGCTGAGGACGGGTTTACACTGGGCTGAGGACAGGGCCACACTGTGTTGAGTACAGGGTCTACACTGGGCTGAGGACGGAGCCACACTGGGCTGAGGATGGGGCCACACTGGGCTGAAGACAGGGTATAAACTGGGCTGAGGATGGATCTACACTGGGCTGAGGACAGGGACCACACTGGGCTGAGGACGGGGCCACACTGTGTTGAGTACAGCCTGACCCCACCCTCCCCGCTCAGCTGGACCTGTAGGCTGATGCTCCCCATCACCCACTCAGCTGCCACCCACAGGCTGACCCCACCACACCTCTGCTCACTTGCCACCAGCAGGCTGATGCCCACGCCCCACCCCAACACCCACTCACTCACCTGCCACCAGCAGGTTGACAGCCGCGCTACCAACGTCGCCGATGCTCACGAAACAGGTGAAGCTGCCCTCGTCGGCCACCCGCACGCGCTGCAGCCTCAGGGACGCGTTGCCCTGGGCCAGCAGGTCTGGGAAGAGCGTCGTGCGGTTGGCATAGGCGCTGCCCTGGTCCCGGCCCTCAGCAAAGCTGTGCACCAGCTGCTTGGTGTCCGTCAGCTGCCAGGTGAGGCTGAGCTGGTCCAGGCTGAAGCCGGGCTCGGGGGAGAAGGAGCAGAGCAGGGTGGCATCGGTGCCCACGAGGGCCACCACGGGGTCTTCAGGGACCTGGACGTGCACTGCGCCTGACAGTGAAGGTGAAGGGTAACTGGTGAGGGGGGGTGCGGGGAAGACGCTCCCTGGTCTCCTCGCCCTCCTGAGTTCACTCCAGGTGCTTTCTACCTTTTCTTTTAAAACTGAGACCCAAAGTGAGCTCCTCCCCGAGATCCTCAGTCCATTGGCAGGAATAAACGCCCCTGCTGGGCAGCAGGAAGAGGCACAAGTGCTGAAGAGAATGCCCTGAAAGCTCACATTCTGATGGGCAGAGCTGGCACATGGCATATGAAAGGGTATGAAAATGAACCAGCCAGTTAGGAAGTAAAGTGGGGCCAAAGAGGTAGTGCAGTGGGTAGGGTCCTTGCCTGGTCCGAGACTGTAAAGTAAAGTAAAGGCCCTCCCGTTGATCGTCGATTTGCTCGAGCGGGCCCAGTAACATCTCCATTGGAGACTTTGTTGTTACTGTGTCTGGCATATTGAATACTCTCGGTAGCTTGCCGGGCTCTCCGAGAGGGGCGGAGGAATCGAACTCGGGTCGGCCATGTTGGCCGCTTGTAAGGCGAACGCCCTACCCGCTGTGCTATCGCTCCAGCCCGAGACTGATCCGGGTTCAATTCCTGGCACTGTGTTTGATGCTCAGAGCCCAGGCAGAAGTGATCCCTGAGCACAGCTGGGAGTGACCCTCCCTCTCCCCAAAAATGAGGAAGAAAGAGAGGTAGTGAAACACGCTGGGGGGTACTCAACATCTGTCTGTGATGGTGGCATTTCCCCATAAAGATTTCTTTATGAATTGGGACGATTTAAAAAAAAACAAATCCACACTAAGCTGCTAATAGTGGTTTGAACGGGATAAGAGCCACACATTTCTTTTTTATAAGCAAACGTGGCTGGATTTTGTACGAGAAAGGAAGGCGCCCCACATCATTACCCACGGCGAGAAGTCGCATTCTAAGGGCTAAGAAGCTGAGGGTCGGGAAGAGGCCGACGAGCTGAGCATCAGAGCAGCAGTTGCATCCCCAGCACCACATGGGCCCCTGAGCACCGCCAGGGGGCCTTGCTGGACAGGTCCAAAAATGGAGGGGGTTGGGGAACGAGACAAAAGAAATAATAAGCTGATGCGCATGCTAGGGGGAAAGGCAGCTCAGATAGAGAAGGGAGCACCAAATAAAGGGTGTTGGGAGGATCCTCCCAGGGTGGGAGATGCGTGATGGGAGTAGACTCTAAGACCGAACATGATTGCCACTCAGTGCCTCTTTTGCAAACCACAGCACCCAAAAGGAGAGAGAGAACAAAGAGGAGGTGGGGTGCCACAGAGGTGGGGTGGGATGGGGGGGATGGGGGGTGGGAGGGATACTGGGATCCGTGGTGGTGGAGAATGGGCACTGGTGGAGGGATGGGTGTTTGATCATTGTATAACTGAAACCCAAGCACAAAAATGTGTAAGTCTACAACTGTACCTCGTGGTGATTCACTAATAAAAATTTAAAAAAGAAGAAAAAAAGAAAGAATAGGCTGAGATTAAACGGGAATGAAGCAGCTCCCTCTCACAGGCGGGTTAACCCATGGGGATGTCTTGAGACAGGATTCCGACTCCAGGAGAAGGGAGCAGAACAGTGTCCAGGTGTGAGATCAATCATAGCTAGGAGACAATCCAGGTAGGAGCAGAAGCTTCTTACGTGACACAGGCATCAGTGGGCTTCAATCAGGCATTATCTGGGTACCCATGTGTAACACGGGATTCTCTGGAACCCGGGTGCCCAGGTCAGCTTTTCAACTGGAGACCAACTGGACCAGAATGCCCTTTGGGCAATGGAGGGCAGAAACTCAAGGTCCCTTTCCTCGAGAATTCCTAACAGGGCCGCTTCTTCCTTGCCGCCACCAGGTGGCGCTAGACACTCAGCTTTGCTCCCCACAGGAACTGAAGCGGGGGCGGATGTCGGCCTGGAGGCTCAGACCTCGCAAGGACCTGAGAGCCGGTGCTGCTCTGGTTCAGGGGCTGCCGGCTAGCTGGGATGCCGGCTCTGTGCCGAGCACTGGTCGGAAATCCTGACATCGGTTACTGAAGGCGGCTCTCGAGCGGCTGCTGTGAGAACTGGCCTGGTGCAGGGCGTGGGGCCTGATTTCTGGGCAGGGCAGTCAGTGAGCGGGGAGCACTGTGCAGAAGCAGGAAGAGAGGCAGGCTGGGGAGAAGGGACCAGAAGGGCTGCACAGCGGGGAGGGTGTTTGCCCTGCACACCACTGACCCGGCTTCCGTCTCTAGCACCCTAGAGGGTCCACCAAGCCTGCCAGGGCCAGAGCACGGAGTCAGGAGTCAGCCCTGAGCATCACCCAGTGTGTCCCCCCGCCTCCCATAAAAAAGGCTGGGAAGAAGCTGAAGATCACAGTGTGTGTGTGGGGGGGGTGCTATTCCCCCCACCCCGCCCCCAAGGTCCAGACAGCCCTTGCTCATAGCTGACATGTGAGCAAGGGTGAAAGGAAATAGTGAATTAAGTGGGGGGGGGGGGGAGAGGAGGAGGATTCCTGGCAGAGGGAACAGGGGGTGGTGCAAAGGTCCTGGGGCAGGATGCATTGGGAGGGGCTCACATGGCCATTCTACACCAGAAGCGAGACACAGAACGCCAGCTGTGTCTTCCTGCTGGACCCTGCAGGAAGGTGTGCGAAGTGGGGAGTGGGCAGACAGTTCCCCATCCTGTCAGGTCTCACATCCCCACCCCGCCCACACATGCTCCCCCTCACCTGTGAGGCAGAACCACAGAGCCCCCAGAGTGGCGGCCAGGGCCATCCTTGCGGGGCAGCCGTCCTGGAGGGGGCCACGCTGCATCCTTCCTCCCGGCGCCGACAATCCAGGTCTCCGGGGGTGGGCGTCCACCCTGCCTGAGGGGAGGAAGAGGAAACCAGGCATGGGTGGGAGGGGCTTGGCCTCCTCCTGCTGCCCCCCTACCCCCACCCGCTCGCAGGCAGGAGGACCCAGCCACCCGCATCCACTCCCCGCAGTCTACCAGGGGACTGATTTGTTTGGGCGGGGAGGGGAGAGGGGGGAGCTGAGTATCTGTGAGCCGATGGGGCAGTGTGGGGGGTGGGAGGGGAGTGGGCTGGGGACCCCCAGGAATCAGAGAGGAGAAAGCAGGGGTTGGCACGGGCAGGCGCGGGGAGAATGACATTCTGTGGAACCGCGTGCAGGAGTGAGGTTAGAGGGCGGCTGAGGGGTGGCGGTCTGGTTTAACACCGAGGCTGCTGGGAAGTGGAAGAGGGCTGAGAGGGTCAGACCCATCCCGGCTGCCCTCAGCTTGGGGCTCTTGGCCATGGCCTGTCCTTGGCCAAGGACCCTCAGCAGCTCCCCTGAGTTCCAGGGGCAGCCACGCTCTCCTTCCCAGCACCAAAGGCTCCTGTCGTGCAGGAGAAAAACAATGAGGACCCAGACCCGAGAGGGGCTCCCTCCAGCAAACGCAGCTGAGGCAATTTCGGGGGCGCCGGCGTCCCCGTCACTCAGTTCTGCCACTGTCCCCAGCAGCCAGACAGCAGCACCCACTGGGTCCTACGCGCCCCGCCGAGAGCCCTCCGCGCAGGGCACCCGCAGTCCCTGTGCGGCGCGGCTGAGGGAGTCCCTGGGCCAAACCGGACGTACCCTGCCAGCCCGCCCCCCACCCCGGCCAGCTGTCAGGCTGGGGAACCCCAGGCTGCTTCCTTCCCAGACGCTTCCGGCCACCCTGGCCTCAGAGCAGGCCGCTGCCGAGTCAGCAGCCCTCTCGCCCCATTCACTGGGGCGCCGCGGGCAGGCCACATCCTGCCGGCCCCCAGCAAGCGCCAACCAAGCCATGCTGCCCTTCCCACCCCCAGCACCCTCCCCCCACAGCCCCCTACTCCCAGGATCCAGTCTCCTGCCAGGATCTCTGCCCCTCCCCTGCCCCCTTGCTGCCTCCGCTCTACCCCAACACTCACCCTCCACAGCTGTTCTCAGCTCCAACCTCCTGTCTCCCACTATACTCCCACCGCACGTCCCCCACAGCCCTAAGCCTGGCCTCCCCCTGTCCCCCCCCGCCCCGCCCCTACTCACCCAGCTACTTCCTGTCACTGGGGTTTGCCTCCCGAGGGGCTGCTGGACATGCCTGCCGCCCTCTGAATGGCAGGGCGCCAGGCCATTCCTGTCCTGGGTAGACTTAGAAGGCTCCACAGGGCCAGGCTGCCCTTCCCTCCTGAGAGGGGCTCTCAGGGACCCTGTTTTCTTCCTGTCCTGGCCTAGAGAGCGGTCACGCTCACGGTTTCACAGAGCCTGGAAAGAATCCCACAGCACTGGGGCTGGAGAGATAGCACAGTGGGTAGGGCGTTTGCCTTGCACACAGCCGACCCAGGTTCGATTCCCAGCATCCCATATGGTTCCCTGAGCACCGCCAGGGGTGATTCCTGAGTGCAGAGCCAGGAGGAACCCCTGTGCATCGCCAGGTGTGACCCTAAAAGCAAAAAAAAAAAAAAAAAGAATCCTACAGCACCAAGTGGCTCTGACCCCAGCATCAGGCCCAGGAGCCATGAGCAGGAAGGACAGACACGTCTCGCTGCTCTCTGACTAGGAAGAGGCCTGGGGACACGTCTTTGTCCACGAGGGCACAGCCGGTTGAAACTTAGCCCAGGTGGCAAGTGCCCCCTCAGACGCCAGCCCTCCCTCGCCTCCTGGGGCCCCCTAGAGCCCAGCTCAGCTCAATGTGTGGAAATCAAGGAGCCCGGCCACCCTCAGCCTTGGGGTCAGGCAGCACATCGGCCTGGCACAGCTGGAGCTGCCAGAGCCTGCCCCAGAGGAGTGCCCACATCAAGTCAAAACTTAAATGCCAGAGCTGAGACTGGGCGGGTGTGCAAAGATGCCCTGGACGAGAGGGACCAGCTCCCCACTCCATGACCAGCAGCCATGTCTTCTCCCGGCCCCGATAGGAGCTCCCACAAGGGTGGGAAAGTGACCACCACAGTGCAGTGAACACATAGGTGACATTGCGGCAAGGGTGCGGCCAGCCCACAGTCCATCAAGACTGCCCGGCCGCCAGGCTCGGACCCTTTCCGTGAAGTCAGCCTGAGCTGGGATCCTGTCCCCGGAGCTGAAGGAGTCACTGACTATCCGGATTCCTTCGTTCACTCATCTGTGGGCGCGTTCACTCACTGCCGCCTGCAACACTTCGCTCTTGCCCCAAGACGGGGGAGGCAGGTGCTGTGCACAGGGAGAACGGACTCTATCCATGCAGGAGGGAAGGCGGGGCTGTGGGTCGGAGGGACCCAGCCACTCTCTAGAGTGTCAGGTACCCTGAGGGTTTCCGTGCAGGCACTGCGGACACATGTCCACCTTGGGAGGCGAGCACCACAGCTGGCATCCTGGTCCTGGCCCCGATGATGCTGTGCCATCTTTTTGTGGGTGTGTGTGGTGGGGGGCAGGAACTCTCAAGCAGTGCTCAGGATGTCTGGGTCTCCACTGGCAATTCTCAGCACCTCTGGCCGGTGGTTTGGTGCAAGGCTTGAGCATGGGAGTCGGCTGTGCTGGGGATAGTCAGGCCTCCCCAGCAAAGATGGGGCTTGCCAGGGCTGCACCCGGCAATACCCAGGGGACTGTATGGTGCCAGCATTCAGACACAGGCGCTCGCTAAACTCCCATCTTAACCGCTATACTATCTCCCAGCCCCTCCGTGCAACCTGAGGTGACTGTCCCTGCCTAAGCTCGAAGTTCTCTTCTATAAAAGGGCATTGCTGATACGGGTGGACCTTTACTCAGATTTGAAGATTCCAAGGACTAGTTCCCTATGGCGGAGCTTATGAGCTGCCTTGAAGGTCCACACTCAAATGTACAAAATAACCAAGGCCCGAGTCGCTAGTTTTCCCCTAACTCCTATACTCTTCCTCTGCTGTAGAATTTCCAGTTAGGTCACTTAGCTAAAGACTGCAGAGCCCAGGCTTCCTGGAGCCTGGACACACCCGTGTGACCATTTTCTGGCCAATCAGATTTGAGAGGAACTGAAGTATACAATTTCTGGGCCATGCCCTTAAAGAGAAGGAGCACATTCTCTCTCGCTCTCTCTCTCCTCCACCCCCTTCCCACCAAGTAGAGCACAGACTTGGTGAGTCTTCTGGGACACAGCTGCCAAAGGCAACACCCCAGGGACGTGAGAGCAAGAGCAGCCCTGGATACAGCAGGACTGTCACTTGGGTGACAAGGACGCACCTATAATGTCTCCTGTTATTTTGGGTCTTTCTTACAGAACTAATTTCCAGAGCCATCCTCCTTTCCTTTCCACTCCTTTTTCCCTCTCCCCACTCCATAAAAATCACCACTGCTCAGAACCGCAAAAGGAAGCCACACGTCAAATAGATATGTTTCAGAAAATGAACTGGAAGCTATCCCATCAGGGTCCTTCAGGGATGCCTGGGTCACCGAGAAGACATTTCCGGAGCATCCATCATGGGGCGTGGGGTTGAGAGGATCCCGGAGACATTGAAGGCGGGAGCAACAGTCGATTGAGACTCTGAGACAGGGGGATCTGTAAAGGGGCACATTTAGGGGGAAGGATGATTCCTATGGAGTGTGAGCTGTGGACCATCCAGATCAAAATGTCTAAGGGAAGCCAGAGAGGTAGTACAATGGGTAGAGCATCTGCCTTGCACACAGCCGAGTTGGGTTTGATCCTGGGCACCCTATATGGTTCCCTGCAACCACCAGGAGTGATCCCTGAATGCAGAGTCAGGAGTAAGCCCTGAGCACTACCACGTGTGGCCCCAAAACATAACCCCTCCCCTCAAAAAATATGTCCAAGAGGCTCTGGACACAGAGCTCAGAACAGAGAGAGACAAGCATTACCAGAAATGGATGCCCAGGATGGGCTCACAGAGGGGAATGGGGGAACAAGAAGCCACACAGCAAGCTCTGGAGAAACTGGAAGTTAAGAGTAAGGTATCAGAACCAGGAACTCCCCTCCCTGCTACCACCGCACCCACTTCCTTGCAAGGTGTCCAATGGTAGAAGGTTCTCCCGTCTACTGAGCCAAGATGGGTCTCCTGCACAGATAGCCCTTGTCATTCCTCATCATTGGGCCCCCTTGAACAAGTTCTCTCCTTAACAACAGCCCCTCGAGGACTTGATCCTCCACCCCCTGGGTGAGACACCCATGGGCGGCCACGTCATCATGTCCAGCAAAAGAATGCAAAGACCAGGAAATCTGTGTCTGACAACCAGAAATTGTCTGCACGCAGCTATCCTGCCCCCAAACAACCCCCACTTCCCCTCTCACACCCACAGCTGAGACTGGCGTCACTGCTCTATTGAACAGAAAGGGACCCGAGAAGACACTCATCTGACACAGATGGGCAGGTAATTGGCTCATGGATTCTGTCAGGCATTAAGCAGACGCGCCAAACCGTTGTTTCCATGGTCTGCTTTATTCCCTCATAATGCTGGTTATTATTCTACTTCAAGCCTTCTAGCATGAGTTATCCATTCATGCAACAAAACGCTTCTGTAGTCTCGATATACCGGGCACCATGCCAGGCACAGCGCAATGGTAAAAGTTCTCACTCACAAGTTGGGTTGGGTTTATTAGGGTTTATAAATTACCTATCAAATCATAACAAAAGCCTACTCTGTTGAACATCTACTATGTACCAGGCTCTGTTCAAAGTGCTACACACATATGAACTCGTCAAGCCTTCCAGTCACTCTCTGATGGAGGAACTGTGATTATTTGACCAATGAGAATGTTCAGGCACAGAGACAAGTAAAACACTTGGCCAAGGGGTTGGAGAGATTGGACAGCAGGTAGGGCGCTTGCCTTGCATGTGCCTGATCCAGGTTGGATCCCAGCATCCCTTAGGGTGCCCTAAGCCCTGCCAGGAGTGATCCCTAAGCACAG